GCACAGGTAATAATTAGCAAATTAATAAAAAATTTTTTTAGAAAAGCAATTACTATATGATCCTACGGATCACACGGTAATAGTAAATTGCCAAATAACCTATTTTTGGTTGCTATTTTATATGCTCTATATTTTAACTAATAGATCGCACATTCTATAAAATGTCATATTCGTCTTGGATATAATATTCAAAATGGAGATGATATAGTAGATGCAATCAAGGATATAAGAGGAACGTCAGTTGCAAATATTAACCCTGGTGAACGACCAAAAAAAGCAAAAAAGATAATATCTACCTTAGAGGGCATTACTAATTGGTCACATTTTGCTTGGCCAACAAGTGGTGAATTATCTGGCTATATTTGTGCGCGCTCTTTACCCAATTTTGGCTCTTGGAATACTTTTTCGCCTATTGATATTAAAAAAACTATGAAAGATTATGAATTTACAAAACCAGAACCAAAAATTTCAAATCGCACTATACCAAATTCTGAATGGACTGTTCCATTACCTAGTAATAAAGGTATGTAAAACTAAAGATCTATATTGGAATATCTATAGCAAAAGCAGAGATCAGGACTATATAATATATACAGTCCCGTTCTTTACTTTCACTATAGATGTTCTCATATTTACCTTGCTTACTTCTATACTTAGTTTTATACTTTTAGTATCAGATCCAAACCGATGGTCCAAAACAGCTATCAAATCAGAATTAAAAAAATGAAAAATTGATTGCGAAGATAAAGAAAATAAATGTGAATTAGTAGCTGTATTGCGAAAAAATATTGAAGAGGAAATACAAAGAGAAGTAGAAAGTATATATGCTAATACTTATCTTTTAATTTTTATTTTCATTCGTATTACTAACAAATATTATATAGAAATTCGATTGCAAGACAGAGATAATATTTCATCAAATGATATTCTGCCCGCTTCAACAAATATATCTACATCAAAATTAAAAAAGCGTCGAGTAGTACATTCAAAAAATAATTTGAAAAAAATTGAGCTGAAGTAAATAAATACTATTTATACTTAGCTATAAGTATATAAAAATACTAATAATTTACTATTTTTCTAGACCAAATTATTTTGATTTAGGGTGGGCACTTCGAGAACGTCAAGAATATGGTAAATGTGGTGGAGGAAAACATATGACTGAACGAGTCAAGCAATATCTTAAAACCTACTTTTTGTCTGGCGATATGGACAAGAAAAATCGATTTACTGCTTCTACGATGCTTGAAGAATTGCAAAAAAAAGTAGAAATAGGTGAATTAGAAGCAGATGAAATACCAAAAATAAAGACAGTAGAAAATTGGATAACGCGATATAATCAAGAGCATAAAAAGGAATCAGCAATGAAAGAGTTATGTATTCCAGTAGAAAGCGAATAGAATAGCGTAATATAATATTTGCTTAGCATCCTTTTATTGAAATTTTTGCTCAATAAAGTATTCCGATTTGAAAAATCATTATACAGTATATAATAACTTGAATTTGTCCGTAGAATATATTGAACTAGGGGTATTAAATTTTATGGAACACATTGTATTTTTGTTCTTTATATTAATATAAGTACATTGAATTATATTATTATTTGAGAACTTTCATACTTATAATCTCCAGCCAATTTTGCAATAGCGCGAAAATATTCAAGGGAATGGCACTTGGTGGCTTATAAAAAAGATTCGTATGACTTTCATAAACAAACTTGATGTATTTATTTTATCGTTACATAGGCCAAACATGGTATTGTTTAAGCAAAACTAGAACGTATTCGATAATTTTTACTATAATTTACATAAGATGCACCCCGCCGATCATTAATCAAATCCTTTCCCTTACTTACGGATTACGAATTAAATAATAAAATTCGAACAGTACTTTTAATGTTTCTTCCCACAATTTTCAATCCTGAATTCTTTTGCGTAAATAAGTGATATATCGGACCCATCAACTCCTGAAATAGTGACATTTTTAAAGTGTTTTTGGATGGGGTCAAGTATTGCTCCGCAGCCACATCCAGCTTCAAAAATATAATGACCTTCTTTGATATATTCTTGTACGATATCTAAGACATATTTTTCCCATATTTCTGAGTCTTCAATATCGAACCATCCAGCCAACTGATGTAAGGTTGTATATTTACTGTCGAAAAGTTCGTTGAATATAGAAACCCAGGCATAGTTATCATGTTTACCTGTTACTGCATCTAATGTTTTAAGATTCGACATTTTTTAGAATTACTATTTTCTGACTTTCTGGTTATATATAGGTACATACGATAAAACAAAATATGTAGTACTAAATTTGCCGACCATGCCCATAAATTTTTATACTATGCAATCGTTAATAATCACAACATAATATGTAATCTAACTCCTTACTAAGTACGTACGTACGTACGTACATACACACCATGCATTTTGCGCGTACGTACTGTTATTAATTTGTAACTGATACTGTAACCACATCCTGTAAGGCCAATCAAATTTAAAGATCCTTCTTAACTAATTATAACTTTCTCCATAATCGCAAAGTATAAAATATTGTAATATTTATGTTGCACCTAATTTTATTATTATTATAATAATTACAATGCTTGCTCATGAATATTTATTAAATTCTCAGATTGACAGTATTACCAGGAGAATACACCCTGTTTCACCGACAGTTATAAAAACAGGTTGAATGGACAGTGTATGTTTATGTGTAACCGTGATATAATTTGGGTACATTTAATTCGGATTGTTATAATAAATGCCAGAAGTCGGGTTGCCGGTGCAGATATAATTCTAATGATGCACCAACGGATTTTTTGGTGCGTAGGCGCGCCATTTGGCGCACCATTATACTATATAGTTGCTAGCAGGAACAATTATTACATAGCCCTAACTTTGTTTGATATCCTCGGACATTATACTCTTTAGCCCAGCATAGTGGACAACCCTAAATTTGGATGATCGATATGTGGCTTAACCAATTTAATAAAAAAATTTTTTTAACTTTTTATGTAGTTTAAAGTACTCCGTATTCCCGTGATTTTTCGAAAACTTGTCAAATGAATTCGTTAAAAAAGAAAGAGTAACAAAAAAAGCTTTCGAATACCTATATTCCAGTATTCTATTAAAATTGATCCAAAATAATCCCAATATTTAAAAAAATTTTATTACAGTGTTAGAGACGAAGTTTATAAGAGATCTAAGGTAGTTGAGCCTCTAATTCGAGTATACAATGGAATTTTGGTGTTAAAACTAAAGACAAGCGACACGAAACTAAGATCTAATACATTCTATAAAAGCAAAAAAAAAAAAAAAAGCTTAAATAGTATTTATACAAGAAACAAAGTAAAAAGGATAAGTTATTTAATTTTTATATAGTGTTTTTCAAAACTAAAAATTGTATTATAATGAATTTATTAATAAATTTTACTGATTTTAATCAATTACAACTTTAAGATACTAACAAAAATAATTTAAAACCGATTTAGAAGTGATTTAGAAGCAATTTAGATACAGTCAGACCTCCCTAAATGCAACCTCCCTAAATGCAATACCTCTCTAAATGCACGATAGAAGGCTAGCCCCACGATGGGACTTATAGATAAATGCACATTCTTTATTCTGCAATTGCACGCTAATTGTCTGGCCCACTTATAAAAACTCCCTCCATAAATGCATTCACATGATTATCGGCCAATCAAATTCATTATTTCTAGGCAACTAAAACCATATTATCACAAGACAATAGTAATATTATGATTTTATTAGTGTTCTCTAATTGCAACCCTCCCTAAATGCACGCTCTAGAGCTGGTCCCAACGACGTGCATTTAGGGGGTCTGACTGTAATATATTTATCAAATATATTGCAAAAAAATAAATATTTTTTAAGAAATATAGATAACTTGAGGGGTTAAATTATCGTCTAATATCTCATGAAACAAAAGACAGATTTTGATAATTTTTATACCATGAGATTCGTCTCACCATTGCGGCAAATTTATAAAATACCCAAAATTTAAAAAATTTGACTACTAACACGTAAATATAGATTTTTGCTGAGATAATCAACATTTCCAAGTTGTGATGCGTCACTTAAATAAATTTCTATGTCTAATAAGATGCGTCGGGAGTGAGAAGATGGGTTAGTCTGTGGTGAAGATGGGTTAGACGCGTTATCAGTCTAGATCAGAGGTTCAAAACATTTTTCGAGGTTTACATTTATAGTTTAATATGTTAATTTGGTAACTAAAATTTAAATCTGGCTTGGTTTTGGTGACTGAATTTTAGTTAAATTTCATAAATTCGCCGTGATGCAAAGACGAATCTAATGGTATAAAGATCATCAAATTCTGATTACTGGATCGTAAGATATCTTTGATTTCAATAAAATAAAATTATTAAAACGTGAGTATAATATTTTATTGGTTAATTATTATCTTTTTGATCGACTAATTTGTAGTTTTATTGACCCTGAGTCACGGATTTTGAAATTGGAAAGTTTGTGTAACAACGATTGTCCACTTAGTAATTTGAGCCTATGGCAGCCGCGGCTGAGCCAGCCAATGCAATATGATCGACTGGCTAATGCGGCTAAAGATCACATGATTTAGTATATAGTAGGATTCTGAAAATTGGAAATTTTCCGGAAGTATAGTATTTGTCAGCCGTTAGCCAGCCAATTACCGATATTTTAGTCGGCTGGCTTAGGCAGCCGACTAAAACCTTATGGCTTAAATCACTAATTTAAACAAACCAAATCGCTATTTCTCAAAAATTTGCATAAGAGTGCATTAACAAAGTTTTCCTTGAACGATTATTTTACTATATTAGAATATTCTAACTCCAACCCTAACATGGACGCGAACCCTAACCTAAATGAATTTGAAAGAATTCTTCGATCACCACGTGAAAGTGACATTTTTCAGACGATATGGGAAGTACCATCAATATTATGCACCATTGGCGTTGCCAAGTAACTTGCACCAGGATATTTCTTTTTCACTCTCGTTTATTAATTACCGGTTTGATCAGAGAGGCCAATCAGATTTTTTGTTACGTCTAGTACATTAAATAGTACATTATCTAGTATATTATCTGGTATATTATCTAGTATATTATCTAGTATGTTAGATGGTATATTATTTGATATATTATCTAGTATATTAATTAGCATACTATCTAAAATATTACAAATAAACTATCCATTGAGGGAGGTACCTGAGAACGCCCTAAGTCTTGAGATTCTTTTTAAATACATTATTATAGATTAGAGTTAT